TAGATATTTCTATAGGCTTTATTTGTCTTGTGTTACAGAAATTTTATTATCTTCGGCGGTAGACTATGATGCACGGACACTGACACGGGACATGACACGATACGACACTCCCACACGTAAATCTTAAAAAATGTCATATTCCGATACGTTAGGACACGTTTTGATATTAAATAATATTTTAATATATAGTATAATTTATATATAATACATATAATAACCCCTAAAAAATCATATAATCAATCAAATATTCAAATTCTATAAATAAATATAAAAAAAATAGTAAAACATTTTGCTGGCAAGTTCATATCCACCCCCATCCACTCCCATCCTATCAAACAAGATCCTTCTGTTTCAAAATTGAAGCCTAGCATATAGCATGCATTCACGCATAGTCCTAATACAATAGGGCCCACACTAAACACTTAATATATGAAATATTGCGCTTAATGACTAGCTCCTGCATTAAACGTTGGAAAATGCACCCAAGGAATCACTCAACAGTATGTAAAATGATGGTGGTCAATTTGTTAATATAAAAATTAAAGGTAAAAAAAATATTCAGAACATATTTCAAATTAAAAAGTAAAGATTATCATAAAAATAAGAGTAAAAACCATTTTTAGTCCCTGACAATATCCACGAAGCCCTTTTCAGTCCCTAGCAATAAAAAAAGGACAAATTGGTCCCTGAAATAACAAAAAAGAGGCCACGTTCATACTTCTGTTAACTCTCACCTAATGACCCAACTAACGGTGCACAGTTGACACGTTAGTTTGCTGACGCGGCTTGGATGTGGGACATCGTGGAAGATGAGACGACGACGTTTTGGTCCCTGTCAAAACCACGAGGGCCATTTTGGTCCCTGTCAAAATGCACGAGGACGTTTTTAGTCCTTGACAAAAAGCACGGGGCCCTTATTGGTCCCTAACCAGAGAAAAATAAGCACATGACTTTATTGCTTTTCTATGCAGTCCAATTTTGCAAAACAAAAGTGCATTACATCAGAAACAAAAGTGCAATCCAATTTTGCAAAACAGGAACATGACATTAAATTGGATTTGTATGCAGTCCAAATTGTTAAACCATAAGACATGGATGTACAAGAACTATAACTACGTATATTAGTTAAAAACATCAAAAATGGTAAACTTAAACATTTATCAACCAATGAAACATAATAGCTGGAACATGATTTGAGTATCATTATATTTGAAGACATGGATGTATAGTAGTGCATTACAAAATAAAGCCAACTCTCAGGAATTAAAAGAAAGGCCTCTAATACAATATGGCCAGAATTTACAAAAAAAACATTGACATAATAAGACCTTCAAATACATAATGGCCAGAATTTTCAAAAAAAATCAGTCACATAATAATAAACCTTTCTCAGTTGGCTCATGCACTACTCCCAGGTCACATACAACAGCAGGTGATTTTCTTGAGGCAGGCCTTGGTGGCCTAAAACCAGGTGTGCTCATGAAGGCCAATAATCTGCTTCGTGTGCCACTGGTTGCTGCATTCATTGTTTCATTACTCAACAACTCATTTGCCTATTGTGGATTTGATGGAGGTGGGCTGCTTCTTCTCAAGTTGCCTTCATGTGGCTGAGAACTACCAACTGCTGCAGTCCAGTCAACTGCCATGCATTGCAATTATCAACAATCATTTACCTGGCTTCTTCTCTGATTTTTCTTTGTATTTAAATATCAACAATCATGCAATTATCTTTTATAGAAAAATAAATAGTATAATTGTAATGCTACACTACTGAAGATATTGTTCGTAAATCGCATAACGCTATGTCTTATACAGACTAAGAGAATTAAAGCAGTTCATAGTATTCTAGGGATCGTAAAAGCTGTTTGCAAGAGTCAAGAATCCCTTTTAACAAAGTGGGAAGCTTAATTAGCATTGAAAAGGAAATGAATAATCGTTAATAAGGTCGAAACTTCAGTTAGAAACACAAACTTCATTGAAATAAAATGCCAAGAAGGAGTATTTTACTTTTTGATGAAATTTAGTTTAATTACTTTGTGATGAACAAATGGATTGCACTCCTGTTTCTTATGTAATGCACTTCTGTTTTGCAAAATTGGACTGCATAGAAAAACAATGAAGTTATGTGCCTATTTTTCTCTGGTTACGGACCAATAAGGGCCCTGTGCTTTTTGTCAGGGACTAAAAACGTCCTCGTGCATTTTGACAGGGACCAAAATGGCCCTCGTGGTTTTGACAGGGACCAAAACATCTTCGTCTCGTCTTTCACGGTGTCCCACATCCAAGCCGTGTCAGCAAACTAACGTGTCAATTGTGCACCGTTAGTTGGGCCGTTAGGTGGGAGTTAACGGAAGGATGAACGTGGCCTCTTTTTTGTTATTTCAGGGACCAATTTGTCCCTTTTTTATTGCTAGTGACTGAAAAGGGCTTCGTGGATATTGCCAGGGACTAAAAAAGGTATTTACTCTAAAAATAAATGCTTTTCTGCCTGAACAATAAGATAACCCACAACCAACTCACCTAACATGTACAGAAAGAACTAACTGAAGAAGCAAGAAGAGGGCATTTGACGAAGAAGAAGAATAGAGACAGCCAAGCAACAGACGAGCCGAGGAAGAAAACGACGAGTTTGCAGCGCCTTAGAGAGGGATACCGGCGTGAAGAAAGAGATTGGATTCTAAATTTTAATTTTTATTAAATGTCTTTTACTTTTTTTATAAAAATTATAACTTTTTTATGAAAATGTCAAAAGTGTCTAAAAACGTGTCCAAAAACTTTGACTACGTGTCAGACTCGGTCAAAGTCGCGTGTCGGAATAGTCAACGTGTCCTAAAAAGTTGACTGCATGTCAGAACGTGTCGGATATTTTTTTCAAAAATTGTCGTGTCCGTGCTACCGAGGCGGTAGACACAAGTCAGCAGCGGGTCCCATTAAAAGAAAAAAAATATAAATGAACCCACATCTATTTTAAATGAGTATTATCTCCTTTAGAAGGAGACTAATAGATCCCTATTTCTATTATGGAAATAATTGCAATATATACTCTTCCTTTTTTTTTATAGGGGACAATATTAACTTTCATTTGTGATTGTCGAATTGTCCTGCAGAATCACATTTAATCACGCATTGTACACTATCAAGCATATAATTAAGGGAATAAAACTTGTGCTATTGGGGCAGAACTTTTATTCTTGTAGCAAACCTAACAATGAAGAGAGAGAAATTGAAATAGATGAGAGAAAATAAAATATTGGGCCCGCTTGCCCTATTTAAGTATGAGGATGTTTTGGTCAGTTGGAGCCCTCCTTGGCCCGGTTGGATTAAGATTAATACTGATGGGTCCTATTCTGGTATTATACCTTGTTTTTCTCGTGGGGGAGTTGCTAGAGATGAGGCAGGAAACTGGATCATAGGCTTTTCCAAGAATCTATATCTTGAATAGCGCTTAATGGCTGAACTTTGGAGTTTCTTAATTGGGTTGGATTGGGCTTGGAGGCAGAATTTTAAACAGATTGTCCTTGAAGGTGATTCATTGATGGCCATTCAACTTGTGAAAGAGGGATGTGTGAAATCTCATCCTTGCTATCTGATTATTTCCAGAATTAGATCTCTGCTTGAGAATGATTGGAGGGTTGAGATTTGCCATGTGTATAGGGAAGGTAATCAAGTGGCAGATTGGTTGGCTTCAGGTGAAAATCAAGCTGATTGGGATATCCAATGGTTTGATAGCAGTCCTGATGGCTGTAAGGAACTAGTTTTAGATGATATTAAGGGCGCCAAGGTGCCCAAAAGTGTTTCAGTGTAGTTTTCTTTGCTTTCCTTTGTATTTTAAAAAAAAATAAAATATTGGGCCCAGCTTATTTGATGTATTTGCTGAAAGAATAAAAGTTATTTTGGAACAGCAAAACTTTTATGGAAAAAATATTGATCCTTTTAAATGAGATAAGTTGTGTTATTTTACTTTTACAAAGAGGTGAGATTTATACATTTATTTTATTTATTCTCTCTCTCTTCTTCATTATTTATCTTTTTCTCTTATTTAAAATGACACAACTTTACATCTTTTAAAATAACACACATTTTCCCCAAGTTTTATTCCCATTAATTAATTCTAACCATTCATCTACATTTTTTTTTGTTGAAAATTAACATTCCTATACATTACACTTGAACATAGACATAAAACGTCACATTTCTAGTTTTCCACCATGTCCTTAGGCTGAATAGAGAACGAAGAGAAATGTAAATCAAACCTAATATTATTAGGAAATTGCTTTTCGTGCTGGCTCTTTTTGAAACAATAAATAAATGGTACTGAGGAAAATTATACGTATAATTTTTTTTTTTTATAAATTCTTACAAATTATATTATGTTTAATATACTTTTGAGTGAAGTCTTACCGGTTAAATATGTGTAATTTGTAAGTTTGTAAAAATTTTTTTTGTCAATATAACCCTTCTCATGTTTGATTATGTTTTTTTAATTTTTTTTTTGAATATAAATTTTAAAAAATAAATTTTTTATGTAGATAAATTTTAAAAATTAATTTTAAAAAGAGGAGAATCATAAAGTTTATTTGAATATGATCGAATTTAAAGTTATAATGTTACAAAAAAAAAATTTAAAGTTATAAAAAAGTTTGTATTTGTTTAAAAAATATTGTTAACGAATTTTCATAATTATAAGTGTAAACTAATTTAAAATTGAAAAGAAAGTACTTATTTAAAAAATACAATTAAAAAAGTCTTATAATTATAAAATTATCCACAAAAATAATAAAACTAAAAAAAAAAAAAAAAACTTTTTTGAGGACACCTTTAATTTATTTTTCTTTTTAAATATCTTAAAAACTAAGAAATATATATTATTTTAGGAATCATTTTATAAAATAATTCTTTCCCCCAAAATCCCTTTTGTCCCTGTATTTTTCAGCTACTCTTGCAAGCGCACCTTTGCAGGTGCCAGGTTGCGTCGCTGCTATCCATGGCCAATTGCTGGGTTAGACCCTACTAGCTGCCTTTCGATCCATCATTCACATTATTCATATTCCATCATTTCCATCGCATTTCTTTTTTTCGAAGTTCATTTTTGAGAAGCTGTTGGCTCCACTAATTGATAGATAAGAATACTTCCTCAACGGATGACTATTGATTCGAAATCATCAGAACCCCTAAGATGTTAAGTCAGATAATAGTGAAACCAGCTCAACAACCCTGTAACGTTTCTAAATTCCACCTTCTCCTCCCACGATTTTTGCTTCAACATCACGCGCTCACGACCAATGTGGCGGCGGAAGACGCCACCGTAGCAAAACTCGTGCTTGATTCAGACCCTCGAACCATCTCGGAAACCCTTGAGAAACCCGATTTCCGATGGAGCCCAGAGCTAGTGGACAAGGTTCTGAAGCGCCTGTGGAACCATGGACCCAAAGCACTGCAATTCTTCAAACACCTAGACCGCCACCCAACCTACATTCACGCCTCTTCAGGCTTCGATCACGCCATCGACATCGCAGCCCGCATGCGCGACTACAACTCAGTATGGGCCCTGGTGGGCCGGATGCGCTCCCTCCGTCGGGGCCCAACCCCTCGAACCTTCGCGATCATCACTGAGAGGTACGTCTCCGCCGGAAAAGCCCACCGAGCCGTTAAGGTTTTCCTCTCCATGCACGAACACGGTTGCCGGCAGGACTTGAGCTCCTTCAACACGATCCTCGATGTTCTGTGTAAGTCGAGACGAGTGGAGATGGCTTATAACTTGTTCAAGGTGTTCAGGGGTAGGTTTAAGTGTGATAGTGTTAGTTATAACATAATCGCTAATGGTTGGTGCTTGATTAAGCGAACGCCCATGGCGTTGCAGGTGTTTAAGGAGATGGTGGAGAGGGGAATCACCCCAACGTTGGTTACGTATAATATATTGCTGAAGGGGTATTTTAGGACTAATCAGCTCAAGGAAGCTTGGGAGTTCTTTTTGGAGATGAAGAAGAGGAAGTGTGAGATTGATGTTGTTACTTATACCACCATGGTTCACGGGTTTGGCGTTGCTGGTGAGGTTAAGAGATCTAGGAGGGTTTTTGATGAGATGGTTAGAGAGGGTTTGGTTCCTTCTGTTGCCACCTATAATGCTTTGATTCAGGTTTTGTGTAAGAAGGACAGTGTGCAGAATGCCGTGTTGGTTTTTGAAGAGATGGTGAGGAAGGGGTGTGTGCCTAATGTGGTTACTTACAATGTTGTTATCAGAGGTTTGTGTCATTCGGGTGATATGGAGAAGGCTGTGGAGTTTATGGGGAGGATGGAGGAACATGGCTCACGGCCTAATGTTCAGACTTATAATGTTGTTATTCGGTACTTTTGTGATGCTGGGGAGATTGAAAAGGGTTTGAACATGTTTGAAAAGATGGGAAATGGGTCGTGCTTGCCCAATCTGGACACGTACAATGTTCTGATTAGTGCAATGTTTGTGAGGAAGAAATCAGATGATTTAGTGATGGCTGGGAAATTGTTGATTGAGATGATTGACAGACAATTCTTGCCTCGAAAGTTCACGTTTAATCGGGTATTAAATGGACTTGTTCTAACAGGAAATCATGATTTTGCAAAGGAGATATTAAGAATGCAGAGCAGGTGTGGCCGTGTTCTTCGGCATTTGAAATTGTGAAAACTTTTAGTGTTGGATTTGGTTCATGAGAACATTGCAGAGCGCAATGGCTTGGATTATTTGATGAGTTTTGCTGGCTTATGGATGAAACATTGGAATGTCAGAATACTAAGGGCAGTTGTCCCTTTCTATGTATGTGGGCTTCTTGATGATCCTCTCGGGCCTGGTCCATGTATCCGCTTATAGGTTGGTCCAAATGTAGGTCTGTCTTCCATAGCTTGGTCTCCTTTAGATTTCCTCCTAAGTGTGGGGGCTTGCAGGGACATACATCTCACTTGGTCATACCTTCAACAGAAGGATATTGATATTGGGAAATGGGAATGGTTGCTATTTTTGTAGGAGGAAATTATAGCAAATGTACTTAACGACCAACTTCTTAGTTCATGCCTGTACAAGGAGACTGGTTTTCTACCAGTCGTGATGGAATTCTTCAGGCATGGTTGCTTTCGGGGGGGGAAGGGGTGGATGCCAATAATAATGAATGGCCAAGCCATTATGAAGAGGAAAACAAGGTTTGTCCCCTAAAGAAGTGATCCTCACAGGACAAGAAAATTGCATTTGCTTATGCATGTCTCAGAATATTTTCCATCATAATATCCAAAGTACTTGGTTACTGGGCAAGCAATGTGAGGTGACCTTTATTTGCATTAATATTAACTTGTAATATTGTAGTGGATAATGCATACACACACACCACTTCACAATTTATTTCTGCATACTTATTCTGTTACATATTCCAAATATGAGATGTAATCTTAAAGATTATGTTTGGATTGATGAAAAGTGATGGAATGGAAGGAAATGGAATATAAATGACATTAGTTATTACTGTTTGGATTATTTAAAATAAGGGGGAATGGAATGGAATTTGTTGGAATCTATTTTATCCCATTCCATCCAATACCTCTATTTCTCTCTCTCTTAATTTGCCAGGTATAAGATGGAACAAAGTCAACTAACTTTTAAATTACTCATCTCCTTATCATTTTGTTTACTTCTCAAACAATGGAATACAAACTTTCTTTCATTTCGGCATAATACATCCAAACAATGGTATGGTAATTTTATTTCATTCAATTTCTCCCTTTCTCTTCTGTCTCTCGGGTCTTGTTTCTTGTATTTTTCAACACTTTCTATTGTAATTGTTTGGTTGACTTTGACTTGCACTTTGTCAAATCTAGGGAATATGTATCTGCCAGGATATTGTCAGCTAGAAATGAGGAAGGTCGAACAAAAGGGGAGAACCCCATCAAACTGGTGACAGATGGAATTAGGCAAGGAGATCAAAGCAGCTACTTGGATTAAGCTGATGCAGCTAGTGATGTAAATGGGGAAGATGCTATTGATGTTGATGACAATTATGGGAAACTTGCTAAATCATCTCATGTTTCTGATCAAGCATCTGCAACTATGGTAAGTGATATATTTGCCTCTTGAATTTTCTGCCTGTTACTTTGTGCATTATGGGTAAGGTTTCTGGTTGTACAAAATAAATTATAAATGTGTATGTTTATGAGTTGGTTGTCCATCATCTATCAAATATAATATTTAGTACACTTGAGTGGTGCTGGTGCATGAATTGGTAATCCTATAAGGAGTTTAAATTTAAGATCTGACTGCATGCATTGATAGCTTTGACCTACTTAATTCTTAATTGCAAAAAAAAAAATCATGTATAGGTTTGTGACATAATACCATGGTAATCTAAATGTATAGGTTTGTGTCTCCATCATGAACATATCTTAGACCAGACTTGTATGTATTTCTGGTTTAGACACAAAAATAGTTTATGCAGCGTGCAATCATGGCAGGTTTATATACAACATATGCTTGTTCAATCTTTTTTCTTCTATTTATTTTTTTGGCTTTTATATATATGTTTCTTTTATTGTCTTAAAAAATACTAAAATAGTGAGTCTGAGATGATCAAAATGAATAAAAGCTGCTAAATTATACTTTATTTTATTTGAACTCTTAATCCTAGTCATGTATCCTGGACCATACTCATGTAATTTCAATAATTTCCTTCCCTTGGTGGCTAGCTCCCCAGTCCCTTTGCCCTCACAAATTTTTTTGGGTCCGGCACTGCTATGGTCAGATATCCCAACAAGACATACAGGAGGTGTAAGAAGCATTTTCTAATTCCATAACTCAAAATTGGTCCACTTGGAGTTTGCATATATCAGGGTATTCTATTTGAAACTATAAACACCATCAGTTTTTCACTCATCCTCATGTGGTTGGCCCATCTGAAATTAGAGGGTGATACTAAATTACCAAGCTGGACAATTTACTTTTTATCAACCTCAAGTTTATTTATTTGTTAATAACTGCCTAAATGAGTAAATCTAATTACTTCATAACTGCACTTTCTGCCTGAATTAGAAGGTCTAAGTTTTCTTGTTTATCATCTATAAATGCATCTGATACGATACCACTACCACCCTCAAGGACAATTTAGGGAAAGCAATACAGCTGTAACTGCTTGCAACTGATTCTCACAGACTGAAGAGGGTAGGAAGAGCAGGCAGAAGTGGTTGTTGGTTAAGTAGGAGAAGGAAGATCCAGAAGTGGGTATCTGGAGTCTTAGCTGGAACTTGGGTTTGGGAGATTGTAGAGCCTCTCCAATTGCTCTATGTTATCATTACCATTTCTGTTGCTTGTAATTTCCTTAGTTTTGTTTATTTAGTTGTCACTTGTATCAATTTCCTCAATTCCCTATACTGTTGAGACAATTCTAGTAAGACAATGTCAGTTTTCCCATCCGTATCATTTTTTTGTGTTTTGGAATTGTTGTTAATGGTTGGTTCTTATCAATTGGTATCAGAGCTCTCTGATCAGGGGAGCTTTGAACCATGGACACATTAAGAAGAAAACTATGGAGAAGGGAAATTCCCAAGTTCTATGGAGAAGACAGTGATGCTTGGGGATGGTCAATTTATCTGGAACAATATTTTCAGGAAGAGAGAGTCCATGAAGATGAGAGGTTGAAAGAGGCAGTGAGGGGGCTTAGAGGATATGCTTTCAGTTGGAACGAATGCTGGAGTTGGCTCAATCCAAATGCAACTTGGTGGACGTTTTTAAAGGCATTTCTAGAGAGATACCAACATGAGATTTGTTTGGAAGAGGAGGATGCAGAATTTGAGTTTCAGAAGCCAAAATTTGAATATGAAATGCAGATAAAGTCTATGTTGGGAAAGCCAGAAATCATGAAAGGAAATGAGGAGAAAGAGATCGTGAAAGAAGTTGTCAAAATCATAAGGTTGATGTCCTAAAAAGGAAAATAGAAGAGGATGAGCAAGATATGGGTATTCTTGAGAAGGAGACAAAGATAGTATACAGAAATCAGCCACTCAGTTTTATGACGACAAAGCACAAGGAAGGGATACGAAGTGAAGGGAGCATAAACGCGAGGAAGACTCTGAGTGCATAGGTATTGGTGATGCTACAACTGCTGGTGGTGTTGATCAACCCACCATCATTACCGGAACCACCAGACTCGAAGCTCCAAGGGAGGGAGGAGAAGTTGTCGCGCCATGGAATAGGAAGGCTGATGCAAGTGGGTAGAAGCCTAGAGGCAATGCATGATCAAATTAGTTCGGACATGGGGTTGGGTCAGCCTCTAGACCCACCAACTTATTATAATCCAGTCCTAATCCAACCTATAGTTTCTGGTCTATAGGAGAATTGGGCTTGTGAGCCTATAAATCCGTTTGGACGAAGGGGACTCAAAAAGGGGTTGAGTGATCAATGCAATAGACATTTGTCTTTGAGGGATGAAATTGTTAAGGATTGAAGGCAAAAGGGTACAAGAAGAAAAGATATGAAACAGAGATTGAACAAGAAAAGAAAGAGAAAGATAGAGCAAGAGAGTGAAATGTACACAAAGCGTTGGTGGTTGCATCTGAATTGACAATTTTCCAAAGATTTCGCTGCTCTACTTCGATCTGCAAAAGTAAGAATGGTGAGTCCAACATTTATTTCTTGGTGTGTATGAAGCACCGACACTTAAAAAATCTTGACGTGTCGTGTCCGACACTTTTTGACACTCACCGACACTCTGACACTCCAATACTCGTTGCAAAGACTCAAAAAAGGTTCAAAGGTTACGCTGCGTTGCATTTTGAGTTCCAATTATTAGATTCGTTAGATTACGATTTTATTGAGTTTAATATAAACATTTGGGATATCTTATGTTTCTTTGCAAAATTGATGGGTATTATAAGTTTAGATTTATTTTTTTGTTAAATTATTGAATACTAAATATAATATACACTACATAAATTAAAAACATTATATAATATCAAAACGTGTCCTGACGTGTCGAAATTTAACATTTTTTAGAATTAACATGTCGGAGTGTTGAGTCGTGTCGTATCCCATGTCCCGTGTCGGTGTCGGTGCAACTTAGGTGTGTGCAGAGGCCTCTCTTGCTGGTTGCACTAGATTTTCTACTTGCTATAGTTGAGTTTTTTGTTCCAGCCTTCAGCAGTGTGCTGTCTTATGAAGAACACAATAGGTCCCACTTGTGGGAAGCTGTCATCATGGATCAGTCAATTTATAGGCAACCTTTTGCTGAATTTTCCCTCTCGCCTCAAAAGCCTTTAATAGTTGATGATGAAAGTTTTGATCATTTCATTTATGATAGTGATGGTGGAAATCTATATTTAAAGGATATATAGGATTTTAATCTCTTAAAAGCTAGCTCAGAGGCTATAATACACGTTGGAAGTAGGAAGAAGTTACAATTCAGAAATGTTGTTATTAATGGAGGCCTCAATTGGATTCTTGCGATTTTCCTGGAGCAAATAGAAGCTATTCAGTTTTAAAGGATGATCATGTATACTTGGAAGGAGTAGTTGTAAGTCTTCAGCCAAGGTCCTTCAGAGGAGGTGTGGATGAAGCATCATGTCAGAATAATGCAGTTAACATCGCCATAATGTTGATTATTGAGCTTTAGGCTGTTGGTCCCGGTCTTACCTTTTTTATCACATCAAAAGATGTAGGTGAATTATTAAACCTGTCTAATAAACTTCTACATGCAGAGTTGGATGCATTTTGCAGGCTTGTTTTGAAGGGTAATGATACAGACCTTCAACCCAAATATAGATCAATAACAGAGAATCAAGTGTTTTTGGCCTGAATAATCAGGTTTTTCATATATTGATGAAATTCAAATGACAATTACATGGACTATGACAATTAACAAAGACAGTTTAACAATAAAAGGAACAATTACAAGATCTGGAAATGCTTAACAGTAAAGGATAATTCTAGAGAAATTCTAGAGCCCCTAGTCTCTCCCAAATCACCCTAAGGTGCCCAAAGTTCCAGATGCCCAAAGATACCTCTCGTCACTTTCCTGCTGCCTTTTAACCATCTCCCCTCTCTCTTTGCCACCTCATCCATTCTAACAGAATTGGAGCCTTCCAACAACCTCACCTCTAGAATATTCCCTTTATGAGCTGAGTCATCCTTCCCAAATAATTCCCTGTGGCAATTCTTAAGATAAATCATTAGTGGGGTCCTATCAGGTAACATTATTAAGATGAGTGCTGATGTACTTGGTTTGACTATGGAGAGTATCCTTGAAATACTTGAATGCTTCTGGGAAGACCAATATACATTTGTCTGTTCCCAATCGGTGACTACCTGAAACCACTAGACAAGCCACTAACAAAAGGGATTATCATAATAAATACCAATTCGTTAACAGTCAAGACACTCGTTAGTTTCAGATTTGGCTGAAGAGGATGGGGTCCCATTGGAGGTTATATTGCTTCATGTATCAGTTGGTCCCAACATTTCAAGCAGTGGGACTTGGGAGGGGGTTCCGTAGGTTGATCCTCACCTTGAGTACAAGGTGAGAGTTTTGGGAGGAGTATTGATACGATACCACTACTACCCTCGAGGACAATTTAGGAAAGCAATACAATTTACTTGGGGCCTGTTTGGATTGGTTTCCAAAGAAAGTGCTTTTTATGCTTTGTTTATTTTAGAAGTGCTTTTTACAAAAGGTAAAGCTATTTTGATATTTAAAAAATATTTGGTTGTTGACTTATGTTTTTTTTAGTGGCTAAAATTTTTAGCTTCCAAAAATAGCAGATTTTTGACTTTTTTTTTGTGCAGACATCGAAAATGACTTTATAGTGAGAAAGATTTTTTTTCTGAAAAAAAGCCCATCCAAACGAGCCCTTAGCAAGACAGTTGTAACTGCTTGCAACTGATTCTAACAGACTGAAGAGGGTAGGAAGGGCATGCAGGTAGGAGAAGAAAGATCTAGACATGGGTATCTGGAGTCTTGGCTGGAACTTGGGTTTGGGAGAAGGTAGAGCCTCTCCAATTGCTCTATGTTATCATTTTTTGTTGCTTGTAATTTCCTTTGTTCTGTTCAATTAGTTGTCACTTCACTTGTATCAATTTCCTCAATTCCCTGTACTGTTGAGACAATTCCAGTAATACAGATATCACTTTTCTCATCCATATCATTTGTTTGTGTTATGTAATTTGTTGTTACTGGTTGGTGCTTATCAGTATCTCTTGCCGAGTGTAGATAATAATTGATGTCTAGGTCCGTTTCGCAAATTGTGAGGGAATGCGGATGCTCATAGAGGGGAGTTGTCATAGAGATGCAAGAGAGGACCCGACTTCGTGCAAGATGGGTTTCTAGCGGATATTCCTTGATGGTGATGCTTATAATATCTACACTTGCATTAAGGAGGATCTACCATATTATTCCTATAATGGTTTTATATTATGGATGTAAACCTTTATGTCTCTTGATTTCTTAAGTTTTATAGTATGTTTGATTCTGATTAATTTTAGGAGAAAATCATTTGTGTTTTTAAGAAGCTTATTTGGCAAATTTTGATTGAGTTGTTTTGAATACAAAATAAGTTAATTTTTTTTGGTAGTTCAAAACAAGTCAATTTTAAGGACATATTTAATTGTTTTGTTCGACTTACTAATAATTTGCTATTAGGATGAATTATTAGGGTAAAAGATAAAATTTATTTGAGTTTGGTGTTTACCTTTTTAAAGAATATATAATTGTGTCATTTTAAGTGAAAAAGAGATATACAATAGAAATCATGGGGAAGAAAGTGAGTTTTTTTTTTAATTTAGATTTTAAATAAAAATACTAATTTTAACTAAAATAATCATTTTTTGAAAGGATGAACATTTTTTCTAATTTATAATAATAATAAATTGTAAAAAAAATATGAGAATTTCAAAAAACTGATATGAATCATAAGAAAAAAGTGTTTCATGATAGTCTTTAGCTTTTAGATTTTTTTATTATAAAAATTATTTATTTATAATAAAAGTTTTTATAAAATTATGTTTGGTTAAATTTTTTTTAAGAAAAAAAAAAGCTTAAAATAAAAGATATCAAACAAGTACTTATAATTGGTAGCAGACTCTTTGGCCAATTTTGTGAAGTCTTGTAATCATTCTGTTTGGCTAGAGGACCTACCACCCTCTTCTATTGTTTCTCTTTTTGAGTGTTAATGTTGTGTAAGTTATATTTATAGTCCCTCCCACGCTTCTTCCACTTTTGCCCCTTCAAAATACTATAATATTTTCCTGCAAACTAGTGCGGGATCACGCCAGCATGGTGCAAAATTGCGCCAAAGTTCTGGGAAATGGCCTAGCAGACTGGTGCGAGGTCGCGCCAAAACTCTGGAAAATGGCCCAGGGGGACTGGTGCAGCTCAGCACCACTACCCGTACGGATTCACGTCAACAATCTTTTAAAATTCCGTGTTCTTCTTCTTTCTCCCTATATAAACATAACAAATAGGTGAGAAATGTCATTGAAATGGAAAAGTCAATATAATAAGCAAATATTTATATAAACTGCTCTTTTATGACTTAATCCTTATCATTTTTAGCTTGGAAAACTACATATGCCAGAGGCACATTATTAACTCTACAACCTCCTTTCTTTTCTTCTCGAGTAGCTAATTCATTAAAGTCTCCAGCCACCAACCACGGCTCATTACATTGGAGACTAATATTAATCAAATCGTCCCAAAGTTCTTTTCTTATCTCTTCTCTAGGGTTTGCATAAACTGCAGTGCAAGAGAAAGAGGGGAAGAAAAGACTCTAGACTTTAAAATGAACAAATTGCTTCTTGTGTTCTAAGATTTCAATGAGACCAGCCTCATTATTCCATATAATCCAAATACCCCCTGAGTATCCTTCAGCTTCTTGAACAAACGAGTGCTTAAAACCAGATTTACGAATAATGTCAGTAGCTTTTTGACCATTGCATCGAGGCTCTAAGATTACCACAATGCAAGGCCTATGCTTACGAGTGAAAAGAGATAACGATTTCTGAAACTGGGGTTTTACTGCTCCCCTACAATTTCAAAAGAAGAGATTCATCAGAAACTAGAATGAGCGCAAGACTCCGAGGTTCTTGCATCCTCCAATCTTGAAACATCCCCCTGGTGTTCTTTATCCACATCCATGCACATAGAATTGGTTGGAGTTTCTGCGATTTTATTATCGCAGCTGTTAACATCATCCCTGTTTGGACCCTTTCTATTAAATGTGCCATGCAGATGCGCTTCTTGCTGAGAATTTTGATTAACTTCTTTTGTTCTATTTCCCTGTGCATGCTGAGCTTCTTTCATGGGCATATCAGTCATAGAATTGACATTTGTTGAATAATTTTGGATCTGCATTTGGTCTTCTTGTGTATGCTTATGGATTAGACGATGTTGGCTCACGATTGAAAAGGAAGCAACATGATTAGGAGATTCTGTTTGATTAACCTTAAGAGTATCTTTGGGCTTTCTGGATTTATTCCATATTTTTGGTGGATTTTCAATCTGTGAGGGCCCCATATTGTTGGACATTGGCTGAATACTTAGGTTATGATTGTCCTCATTATTAGGAATATCAGTTGAAGCTGCAAAACATGATTGTAAAACTGCCTTTTTATCACCATGATTATCGCTAATCATCACCCTTTTTCCAGTTTTCTTTTGTAACGTCTTTGTAACGGTGCCAGGCTGGCCTGCAATGGCAGTTTGAGATGATTGTCGGATTCTTCGTTGACGGTTGACCACCATCCAAGGTCCCAGGCCTTTGTTACGACTTGGTTCAACTTCCTCTTGTTGGTTTGCATGTAAGAGGATGTGATCTTCACCATGGGACTATGGGTCTTTGATGCTTCAACGCAACATTATGTGTTATGTCTGTATATCCCACAACCAAAACAAATAAGGCCTAATCCTTCATACATAATTTGCTTGGTAAATCCTTCTCGAACATATTCGCCCTTCAATGGCTGAGTTAGATCCAATTCTAAACAGATTCTTGCAAACTTCCCTCTTACATGAGCGTTTGTGGTGCTGTCCACTTTAATCAACTTTCCCATCCAATCCCCAATCCTTCTGAAGAAATCTTCATAATAGAATTCAAGAGGAATGTCTGGTAATCTAACCCAGGCAGCAATCTTAGCAATTCTGGCACCATTAGGTCTGAAGGCTGGTTTGCACTTCCTCAACGATAAATAATGACCCAGAACAATCCATAGACCACCATTTAAAGCAAAATTGAGATCTTCCTTATCACTAAACTGGATTACAAAGAAATCATTACCAACATCTGTGACATTGATTTTGCCTTTTCCCAACGATAAATAATCACTCAGCCGAAAGAGTGATTATTTTTTGGGTTTTATAAGAGTTATGTTGTAGGAAAAGTGATTGTGTTATGTTATAGAGATTCGTTTTGCGTGCTGAAGTTTTTTTTTTTTTGCTGCGGGCCCCACAAAATGTTGTGTGTGTAGGAAATTTTTTGTGGTCATGTTAAATGATAGATGATAAACCCTTATTTTTTTTCTTTATAAACTCCATTCCTATTTTCTTCCCAAGGAGTTTAACAATCAGAGCCTTTTCCCAAGGTTTCTGCATTCTCTTTCTTGCTCTTAAGTGAGAGAAAAACATAAGCAATATATATTTTGTTATGGGAAAAAGTGGATTTTTTTAAATTTAAATTTTAAATAAAAAATACTAAATTTTGTCTTTTTTTCACTTCAAAGGACATAACTATATATCATTCAAAATAACATATATCTTTTTCTTTTTAAATATAAAAAATAATATCTACCCTTCAAAAAATCGGATTTAATTATTTATTGTTTGGCTGGCATTTAATTATGGGAACAATATTTTTCATTTTAAACAACATAACTGAAACTTGTGTTTTAGTTTTAGTGGATGTTTATTTATTTATTTTCTCTTCCAAAAAAGAAGAAGATAATATTATAGAGGATTAAAAAGGTCAGAATTAACTAAAGGGAAAAATGTGTTTTATTTTAAAGAATGTAAAATTGTGTTATTTTAAGTGAGAGAAGGAGATAGATAAAAGAGGAGAGAAAGTGTACAAAAAAATATAAAAGTGTGGGTCTAATCTCTTTGTGAGAGTGAAATGACATAAGTTCTGTCATTCAAAAGGATAAACATTTTTCCTTTAATTAAAAGGGGCATGATATACTTACCACAATTTTTTTTTATCACTTTTATAACTAACCTAATCACCGTTGATTTTCGTCAACATAGCGGTTATAATTTATTGAGAATGAATAATTAATTAATAAATGCGATCCATAAATTCAATAAATTATAATCGTTAGATTGACGAAAATCAACGATGATTAGATTAATTGTAAAGATAATAAACTTTTTTGGTGATAAGTATATTTATTCCCAAATGGAAATATAGTAATTTCAATTAAAATTTACGTCTTTTCAAATGATAATTTTTTTTTTTTCTATTGGCTGCTTGCAAGGTATCGATTTGTGTGCGTGAGCATTACTCCCCGTGTCCTTGCCTTGGTCCTTATCCTGCTGAAAGTAGAAACCACCAATAGGACTGCGAGTTGCGTCTCCAGGAATTTAAATAATGGTTTTAAGCACATTTATTATCTGGTAAACTTCCCTTTCCCTTTCTCTTCGTCGTCTTCCCTTGCAAGCTCTATTCCCGTTTCACCTTCGCAAGTTGCAACGCTACTATCCATGGCCAATCGCTGGGTTAGGCCCGAGGTTCGTTTCGATCTATCTTCCTCTTTATTTATTTCTATTCCACAATTTCTATCGTTTTTCCTTTTTTATGGATTTTACTTTTTCTCCGTTTACTTTATTTTTTTTTAAATTGCGTGGGTGAAGGTATACCCGCTGTTCGCGGCTGTTGGAGTTGCTGTCGGGATCTGTGGGTTGTCGCTGGTTCGTAATATCTGTATCAACCCTGAAGTCAGGTCTCTCTCTTTCTTTCCTGTGTTGAAATTGCGCTTTTTTTTAGGGATTTTTTTTTTTTTGGTGATACCTTTTGATCTTTGAAATTATTGATTTTTATTGTCCAAAAATCCGGGATGCTGTGAGATTTTTCTCTTGTTTGGATTGGATCGTTTGAATTATCAGATATTAGGGATTAAGACTAATTTTTATTTTTTATTTTTTGGGTTGAAAAAAATTTCTGACTTGTTACTTTGACCCTTTGTAATTATCTGAATTATTTAGTCACCAGAGTTGCTATTGTTAGTTAATTCATTTAGTATTTGATTATTAAAGGAATATGTTGGACAATATTTTCCGTGTATTTAAGGGTGAGCAAGCAGAATAGAGCTGCAGGAGTGTTGGAGAACTTTGCTGAGGGAGAGAAGTACTACGAACATTTCGTGAGGAAGTTTTCACGCAACAGATCGCCGGAGATTATGCCCAACATCAATAGCTTCTTCGCTGGTCCAAGTGGCAATTAAATTGCTTTGAATTAACAAAGGTTAATCTGAGATGTGAACTCTTTTATGTTGTAGTCTGTTTTTACTGTACGTGCATCTAGAAAACAAAATATGTGGTTCATCTCTTGGGCTGAACAGCTTGTATACTGTGCTGTGGTTGAGAAGAAGAACAATCCTGTGTTTGATGCATTATATTACTTGTGGTAGAGTGCAGACAAGGTTGAAACTGGTATTAAAAATAAATGTTCCTATTCCGAGTGTGTTAAAATTTTAAATCCTATGTATCAATTCTAAACTACTGAACCCTCCCAGTGCCGAAATTTATTCAATGGAAGATGATTGTTTCGTCAATGTTTAAATATGTGTGGAACATAGGATTCCTGCCTTGTTTCATACATCTGATATAATCTAAATACTTAAAATGCAGCTTATGTAAACCAATGACGCCGCTGGAGCTATCACACCTCCCATTTTTTGTGGTTGTGATGAGTAGGACTGATCACCATCCAAACCTTTTGTCTATACAAGATAACAATTGTTGGGTCAAAAAATGCTGGATGATGATATAATTAAGTAGCAGGAGAGTGTTTGGATGAGTTTTCTTTTACCTCCTCAAAACAACCTTGATTATTTTGCCTTTCTTATTGTACACAATCTTGATTAATTTGTCCTTCTAAGTGTACGCTATGTACTTCCTGGATTTTTGCAATCTTGTTTTTAAACTTAAATTGGTGTTTCTTATTTGAAACATTATTTCAAAGGGAGTAGATTTTTTTCATGTGTTAATTAACATGACCATGTCATGTGGGGCAATCATAATTATACATGGGTGAGTTAATGGTGATAAGGGAGGAGAGAGAAAAAATATAAGGATAGGAAGTTATACAATCATTATCGTTGATTTAATTATTAATGGTTAAGATCTTTTGTCATGTTAGATTACAAGGATTCATTTCCTATTTCAAATGATACACGCTTTGAAATAGAATTTCAGTGACTTCGGTAGTGGTAAAGTTAGAAGAATTGCCTTGATTTTTTCTTGTAACGATTTTTTTTTTTTTTGTAAACTCTTGTAATGATTCTTTTAATTGCATACATTTATGATTTAAAATGAAAAGCTGTTGTATATTTTTTTTCATAATTTTTTTATCTTTTATGAATTTTATATAAAATTTATAAATAAATTTTAACTCCATGAACCGACTGAATCAATTCAACTTGTTTAGGTTGGTTTAGATTTTAAATCACCTATACCTCGTTCCAATTTGTTTATGAAAATAATTTTGAATAAAAAATATCGTTTGATCCAATTTCATCAGTTTATTTTTTTTATTTTGTCATTCAATTAATTTTAAATTTGAATTCGATCCAATATAATTTAATTAAAAATGGTTTAGGTTAGATTATTATTTTATTTTGTACCAGGTAATACGACTTATTTCAATTTCACACTACTAGAAGTAACTTCCTTGTCTTGGAGGTTTTTTTTAAGAAAAATACTAATAACAAAGAAATCAAAATACTAATTTTTAATACAATATTCATCAAAAATGTGATTTCAAACAAAGATATCAAAATACTAATCAAAAGTATTCGCTCTAAAATTTTAATTTATTAAGAAAAATACTAATAACAAAGTAATTATGGGATATTACAAGCGAGAAAGCCAAAATAAAATAAAATCAAGAAGCACGGCAATTAATGGCACAGTATATATCCCAAAAATAATATGGGTAAATTTTGTTTAAGTTATAAAATAAAAATATTATCTCCCGCACTCACTCACATATTTTACTGATTACTCCATTAAATTTTTTTTTTTATTTTTTTTATTTTTGTAAATAAAGAGGGCTAAGCCCCAGAAACAGAAAGAAATTACAAATCAGAAACTAACAAGCTAGACATATTTCTAGCATCAGCAACTATAAGTTTCATTAACTGAGGAGGAGGATCTTTAAAAATCTTGAAATAGAGATTATTAGTCTGCCCAGCTTTAGCTAACCAATGAGCACATTTGTTGTTTTCTCTCTTGGTATGAACAAGATGAATAGTCCAATCTGCTTTTAACCATAATCTCAATCTGCTAGTGACTTGAGAGTCCCTAGGATCTTCATGCTGCTCCTTTAACATCTGGATGGCTTGGCTAGAATCACATTCTAGCTCTATTCTTTTTAATCCTGTTCCCCAAAGCAGTTCCAAACCTTTCAGTAATCCCCATAATTCTGCATCAAGAGGATTGCAGGAACCTAAATTACAATAGAAGCTTCCCAAAAAGGATCCATTGTGATCTCTTAATATACCACCACAACTAGCTTTTTTCATGCCACTAGAAGAAGCTCCATCACAATTCAACTTAACCCACCCTTGCTTGGGGGCTGTCCAAACGCTATCGTTGGGATCACCACGGCGCTGATAAATTCGGGCTTGCAGAATCTGTTGGACAAACATCCAAATTGAAGCCTGTGATTGCTCATCATGACAGAAATGATCTTCATGGATCTCCAAATTTCTCCACTTCCACAAAAACCAACAAGTAGTAAAGAAAATATCCCTCCAGTCCTTCACTTTATTGGAGGACCACATGTTATCGATATTTAAAGTCAACCAATCCTGCAAATTCGAATTCATAAAGGAATTGGGTATCGAACCTGTAAACCAAGATTGCCAAATTTTCCTAGCATGTCTACAATCACGAAGAACATGAATAATAGTTTCCTCATGATTTGGACAACTGGGACAGACATTTGAACCTCCGCTCCACTTACTGGTTCTGCTGCGCACTGAAAGTTTAGCAAGCAAAGTCATCCACATAAACACTTTCACTCGTTCTGGTCCATTCCACGACCAAACTTTTTTCCATAAGCTAGTGTGAACATCTGCTGGGAAGTTCATAAGATTACAGTAAGCGACCTTAACCAAAGAAGTTGAGTGATGATTATTGATCCAAACTAATCTATCCTCCCCATTCCTTGGAATAAGCCTGAGATGATTTGTTACTGCATCAGCCAAATCTGACTCCAGAAATTGATGAACATCTTCAAGACGGAAACCATCATCCACCATGTAATCTGCAATTGATTTCTGACTCTCCTCCCACGGCACCTGATTGCTCGACAACTGCTGCAAATTTTCCTCCCATCCCAACCAGTTATCAGTCCAAAGCTTTACTTCAGAACCATCTGCTATTTCCCATCTAAGACCAGCAAGGAAATTACTCCAACATTTAGCAAGATCACGCCAAAGTTTAGAGTCATATGATTTTGCCTTTATACCTCTCCTTAAGTCTTGACCTCTACCATACTTGGCTACTAAAATCTTAACCCATAAATCATCTTTCTTAGTTAACACCTTCCACGCCAGTTTATGAATATAAGCTTCATTTTGGAGTCGAAGGTTAATTATTCCCAAACCACCTCTATCTTTGGGTTTATACATTTGATCCCAAGCTACTAAATGAGCCCGCCTTCTGCTATCCTGATCTCCCCAAATGAAAGCCCTTTGTATCTGCTCAATTTCATCACAAAACGTTACTGGTAAAAGACCATTCTGCATATGGAAAGAAGGGATTGCAGCAATGACCGATTTCACCAAAGTAACTCGACCAGCAAAAGAAAGGCAATGGCTTTTCCAACCATCCAGTTTTGAACGTATCCTATCCTTGATAGCTCCATAGTCTGCTTTAATATATCTCCCTTGTTTAACAATAGAGCCTAAATATCTGCCAATACTAGAAGTGCGCTTAAGCCCATTCTGTTGACAATCCTTGTAGCAACTTGAGTATCAGTATTCGGGGAAAAATAAATCAAAGATTTATTTGCACTAACACTTTGCCCCGACATCTCACAAAAGAGATTAATACAATCCATAATCACCTTAGCTTGCTCCATATCTGCTTCCGCAAAGAGAATGATATCATCTGCAAATAAAAGGTGGGATACACTCGGCCCTCTTCTGCAGACTCTAATAGGCTTCCACGAACCCATAGTCACTTTTTCAGCGATCAAGTGGGAAAGCTTCTCAACACACAACACAAAAATATAAGGAGATATTGGATCCCCTTGACGAATTCCTCTCTGAGGAACTATGCAATCCGAAGCCACACCATTTATCAAGACCCTCGAACGATTAGAAGTTATAGAAGCCATTATAACACCAATCATCCAATCAGGAAACTGAACTTCAATAAGCACTTTATAGATAAAACTCCAACTGAGTTTATCATAAGCTTTTTCAAGGTCCAGTTTGATTGCCATTGTACCTTTCTTTCCTTTTACTCTCCCCATAGAATGAACCAGCTCCTTTGCTACTATAATATTATCCTGAAGCTGACGATTTGGCACGAAGCTAGCTTGGTAAGGAGAAACTAAATTCTCCATTGTAAGCTTAAGCCTATCCACAATGATCTTGCTCATACCCTTATAAATGACATTACACAAAGAAATAGGCCTGAATTGAGAAACATACATTGGCTTAGGAACTTTGGGGATCAAAGTGATCAGAGTACCGTTGACTTCCTCAATGCTGTAAGGGTTTTCTGCATAATACTTGATATCTCTCCAAATCTGTTCACCAATAAATTCCCAGTTCTTTTTGTAGAATGCCGCGGTATAGCCATCCTCCCCTGGAGCTTTCGAATCTTTCATAGAAAAGAAAGCTCGTCTGACTTCATCTTTTGAAATTGGAGCACCTAAGTTAACAGCAGTCTCATCGTCCACCTTTGGCCAAAGAGTCTGGACCCAAGGACGATCATGGTTTTCTTCAGAAAATAGTTTAGAGAAGTAAGCATTTATTACCCGTGCAATGTTGTGATCTTCTCTAATCAAGTTTTCAGCATCATCTTTCAACTCCAAGATCTTGCTCCTTCTACGTTTAACAATTGTTTTCGTATGATAGTACTTTGTATTCCTATCTCCTTGAGCTATCCAAGTAGCACGAGACTTTTCAAACCACAAAAGTTCCTCCTGTTCTAAAACTTGTTCAAGTTCACCCCTTATCTTGCCTTCAATCTTTTCCAAATGGCTTTTATTCTGCTCAGAAATTGCCCTCTGGATACCTTCAAGCCTACCAATCAACCTGTTCTTCTTATGATGGATATTACCAAACACATCTTTATTCCACTGCTTAATAAGAGGAGTGAAATCACGAAGACTATCAACTGTTCTTTGATCCTGACGCCAGTTTTCCTTGATGAAATTGTTAAAAAATTGATGATCCAACCAAAAAGAATGAAAACGGAAAGGGCGTTCCACCCCATCAACTTTGCTTGGCTCTAAGGTAATAAGGATAGGATTATGGTCACTGTTAATACGAGGAAGCACTCGAACCTGGCCTTCATGAAACATCAACCTCCATTCAGCATTGCTACAAGCTCGATCTAAACGTTTAAAGACTCTATCTAAATGAAGAAATCTTGGTCCTCGCCATGTAAATTTAGAACCTATTTCTTCAAGATCAATCATCTTTATATCAGTTAGAAGAGAAGCAAATTTATTACATCTGCTAGTATCAACTGGAGCACCACCACGTTTCTCACTTGGAAAGGCAATTTCATTAAAATCACTTGCAATTAACCAAGGAACCGAGATATCTTCTGATAACTGAAGTAAATCATCCCAAAGTCTCTTCCGAATTTCTTCTCTAGGACTTGCATAGATAACAGTATAAAGAAAAGCTTGATGATCTGCCAATGTAACACGAACATGAATAAATTGATGGGTCTGTTTTAATGCTTGAACCTGACACCTATCATTATTCCATAGTAACCAAAGACCTCCCGTAAATCCATGAGCATCCTCCACTATTGAATTATTAAAACCCAGCTTTTTTATTATCTGTTTTGCTTTTGACATTATTCCATAGTAACCAAAGACCGCCCCGCGGCAATTCCACGTAACTAAAGACATTAATCAATGGTAATTTGGCAGGATTGTGGGTCCACTGCCATCCCATTGTCATTGCACTGAGTTTCAGATTCTGAAATCATCTCCACCTCAATATTGAGCTTATGGTTTATTGGGATATGCTTTCCTTTATCTCTACTTGGATCAGGCGCTTTTGGTTGGGACAAGCCATGATCTAAGCCGTTGATATTTTGACCATCCTTATCCACCTCCATTTGATAACAATCTTTGTTATAATCAGCAACAGTACTCCTAGCCACCATGGAATCTCCACCGCTTTTACCTCCAATGTCCTTACTATTATGAATCGCAACTTGCCTCCTCAAGTTCGTTGTATTATTGTTTGAGGTACCTTTGTCAACTATCTTCCCATTTATTTGATTTTCTTTTTCATGACCTGTCGTAATCCCACTTAACATAAATCGGTTGGGGTGTTCCTGTAATTCAACATTAGGACGGCTTCTAGGGTTTCTGTGTTTGAACCCTTGAGATGTACTAATATCAATATTAACACGAGGGCCCACCATATTGACGTCATTTATAACAGCATCCGGATTAGTCGCTGGGATATCATGAGTAATATCATCTTCATTAGAGCCCATTAAAGCAACGTAACGGGAATTTGATTGATTATCAATCATAACCGGCTGATTTGATTGCGGTTGATTACTCCCTTGATTACTCCATTGATTATTCCCTTGATTACTCCCTTGATTACTCCCTTGATTATTCCCTTGATTACTCCCTTGATTACTCCCTTGATTACGCCTTGATTCCCTTCGAACCGGTTCCTGCTTCCTGTTGTCCGCCATTGGAGTTTGAATTTTTGATCGACGTTGACGTTGCACCACCATCCAAGGACCTAATCCATTTTTCTGAAACTCAGCCTCATCTTTTTTCCCGTCTTGATTTTGCTGATTATCCTTTCCTTCAACTGGTATCTCAGGACAACAATCTTTACTATGTCCATAGCGCCCACAATGGAAACAAATTAGGCCTAAACCTTCATATTCTATCTGTTTAGTTGCTCCGTCCAACACATATTCACCCTTCAAAGGCTGAGCAAGATCCAGTTCCACGCAAATTCGAGCAAACTGTCCTCTTACATGCTCATTAGTTGTCTTATCGATCTTCAACATTTTACCTAGCCAGTTACCAATACGGCGGAAAAAGGCTTCATCATAATACTCCAGTGGGATACCCGGTAATCGCACCCAAGCTGCAATCTTCATCACACTTGCAGCATTTGGTCTAAAAGCTGGCTCCCAACGTCGGAGTGATAAATAATGGCCTAAAATAATCCAAGGACCACCATTTAGAGCAAAAAGAAGATCATCTTTGTTGCTAAATTGCACCACATAGAATCCATTACCTACATCTGTAACGTTAATCTTTCCAGCTCTAGCCCATAGTATTTCAATCTTCTTTTTCATGAAAGCCACTCCTGTATTCCTTCCAAGTAGTTTTACAATGAGAGCTTTTTCCCAAACCTTCAGCATTCTTGTTCTTGCTTTTCTAGTACAACCAAAATGAGTTCTACCGTCTTCCTCTGTCCACATTTTAATCCCACCATAATTCACATCCTCTTCCTCCGCAGGTGCACTTTGATCAACATTTTCTTCCAAATTCCAATCCATTCCTTCCCAGTCATCTGTTTCACCATTGTGTTGCATGAGCATCTCTCGCCAAGTCATCTTTTTATTACCGTCGTCAACCATCCAAGATTCATGTCTAGGAACCCTAGACTGTGATTCAGTAAACACCATATCTCCATCTTTATTTCTCTTATTACTCCTACATAGTAGATCTTCTTCTTCTTTTGAAGTTTGGCCTTCAGTAGCTATATTTTCCTCCATGAAAAGGAAAACCCTAGCAGAGCGTTTTTTTTCCAGTTTGTATTACCTTTAACGGAACTGAGGATAATGATTACTCCATTAATTTAATTAGATATATCCAACTACTTTTTTGTTCTTTATATTTTTCCAAAAAATTATTATCATACAAATGATTGATTATTATTTTTTATTAATTATTTGTTAATTTTTTTAGGAAAAACTTCAAAAATTCCTATGAGTTTTCTTAATTATCACCTACCCCTCATCTTCTATGTATCACCGATACCGACACGGGACACGTGACACGATACGACACGTTTTGATATTAAATAATATTTTTAATTTATGTAGTGTATATTATATTTAATATTCAATAATTTAACAAAAAAATGAATCTAAACTTATAATATTCATAAATTTTACAAAGAAACATAAGATATCACAAATATTTATATTAAACTCAATAAAATAGTAATCGTAATCCAACCAATCTAATAGTTGAAACTAAAAATTCAACACAACGCAACCTTTAAACCTTTCTTTGAATTTCTATAACGCGTGTTGGAGTGTCGGGGAGTGTCGGAGTATCCGAGAGTGTCGGACACGACACGTCGGGGGTTTTGAAGTGTCGGTGCTTCATAGTTCATACGAAAATTGGGTCTAGGTTTTGGGTTTGGATCTTGGTTCAGATTTTTGAGCACAAAATGAGAATGTGGAGGTGTAATGCCAATGTCCTACCAAGATTAAGTTTTTTGAGATGATGAGATAAAATATATGTGATGATTCAGAATAAAGATGTCAAGGGAGAGAGATTTGGGGAAAAAAATTCTATAACTCGCCACAATGGCCGAAACCCATTGATATTGGGGTTTCTGGCCGACATTTATTCAAGTAGTCCCTCCCTACCCAGGTAAATAATTCAAGCATTTTTTCAAATTTATGAATTATACCCGGGTATCCCTTTTCCTACTTTGATATGGTAAAATTTTCAAAAAAAACTCGGGTAAACTTCATGGTCAACCGTCAAACAGAGACAAATTGATGTTATATTTTTTGAAAAAGTTAAATTTTTAAAATAATTTATAATCCAGATGAATTTAATAATTAATTATTAAGTAAGGTTAAGTGCATAAAAAAAAGCCCATAAATTTTGCATCGGCATGCTTCTCCACTTTCTGGTTCTACTGTGAAACAGGGTTTGGTTGACCAAAGTTCATTTGCTTGGCTTCGCTCCTTTGAGAAAGAGAAAAAGGAAAAAAAATGCAATCTCTATCGCTGACTCTGAGCAAGAGGCTCTCCAATTCCAAGCCTCTCTTCAGAATCTCATCCAACCTCGTCGCCTATGCTTCAACTACCTCTTCTTCCTCTCTGCCACCGTCACCTCCGATCTCCACCGCAGCCAACGGCAGTGCCTGTGCTCCATCCACTCTCAACAAATTTCTCACCGCTCCATCGTTCGCCACTCAAACCCGCGGAATCACTGTCTCTGGATCTGATGTAAGTTAAACCATTTTCTCTGGTTCGGATTTCTCGATGGTGTTTCGTAGACGATTACTTATTACGACACTGTTCGCCTACTCTCCAAAGATCTTATAGTTTATCGTTGTTAATTGTTATTGGATGAATCATAATTATTCTAGGGCTCATGACCTTTTCTACTTGCGGTGCAGGTTAGAGTTGGAAATCTCATTGAGAACCAAGGTCCTTGTTTTTTTTTTTTTTTTAATTATTGTGATTTGCTGTGATGATTCGATTCAATATATTTTTAGTTACTAACGAATTCACTCTGCATTCATACTATGTTGGATGTGGATATGCTTGCTACCAGGGCGCATTTATGAGGTGATTACTAATCACTTGAGCAATTTGTTCTGAAATAATATTCATAGAAGCTTGTTGTCTGACTTCTTGTTTGGTTATCTAAATCACATTAGGTTCTTAAACTATATCACCCTCATGGAGGAAAAGCCACTATCAAGGTTTATTCTGAGATTTTCTTTTTTTCTTTTTATTGTTTTTATTCTTAAATACCTGGTTGGATATTGAGCCTTAACAGTCTTCTTGTTCAATATGATTACTGTTGCTTATTATGTTTCTTTAAGTGGAATGTTGTTTGGTATGCACATGTGTATATATTCAACTACCTTAAATAAGGTAGCTATGTTGCACCGACGTGGGACACGGGATACGACACGACACTCCGACACGTTAATTCTAAAAAATGTTAAATTCCGACACGTTAGGACACATTTTGATATTATATAATATTTTAATTTATAAGTGTATATTATATTTAGTATTCAATAATTTAACAAAAAAATAAAGCTAAACTTATAATACCCATCAATTTTGCAAAGAAACGTAATATATTCCAAATGTTTATATTAAACTCAATAAAATTGTAATTGTAATCTAACGAATCCAATAGTTGGAACTCAAAATGCAACGCAACATAATATTTGAACCTTTTTTGAGTCTTTACAACGAGTATTGGAGTGTCGGACACGACACGTCAGAATTTTTGAAGTGTCGGTGCTTCATAGTAAGGTAGCATAGTGAATGTTAACTTGAAATTTGTCAATCGAAGGGACTGTTATTTCTAAAGGCTTTCATGTGACATAATGTTTTAAGTGAAGGAAAGGGTTTTTGGCCATCATGTGTAGGGAAATTCCTTTTGGGAATTTTTTGCACAGTGTTTATGAGATATAACTTCATACATAGAGCCAACTACTTGTCTCTTGTGTCGATAATATGGTGTGCCTTTATATTGTACTACACCTCTTCCTCTTCCTTTGGTAGGGGGAAATTTTCATGATCCATTTAAGATCTTTTTGTTTTTCACTTATGAGAAAGATGGTGAAGGAAGTGAATAGGAAAAATTAAGTTTTACTGTGTTTATAATTTATATGAAGACAAATAACAATTTACTCTTATGGTGTGCCTTGATATAGTCTCTAATTCTCTCTTATGTTTTGGTTATTAGACTAACAAGTTATTCTTCATGATCAAACAATATATGCATAACCAGAAGGATTTTCTTCTTACTGATTTATTTACATCTCAACAATGTTAGAGAGATGTATCTGTGAAGTTGTTGGCTGCCTAACACTCACTTGGATTGCATTGAAATAACGCATAGAGAAAACAAAGTTAATTTTCCCATAGAAGCAGCTTCATTGAAGAATTTGGATCAAGTATTAACTAGTAATTTTTAATGACATTTACCATAGATGTTAATACATCATCTCAAAGGGTCATATTGTATGATTTGATTAAACAATTTTCCATTTTAATGACCTACACTGAGTATTGGAAACTGAATGGAACGAATTCTATATTTGGTGCTGGCAATGCTAAATGCTCAAGTGTTGTTTATTTGTATTACCAATGACTACCAGGTTCCACCTCATGCTGTTGCTGGTTACGCCACAGTTACTGCAACAGAGGGTGACATCAAAAGGTTAGTTAGTGTAATATGATTCAAAGCATTTGATGGTAAAATGATCTTGCTTTCAATTTCGTTAAGCATCTTCCACTTTTGCATTGACGAGCTTGATTGTTAGCTTGATGATTGTATTGAGTCTATTGACATTCATCCGGTGCCATGTATAGCTAGAGTTTTGAAAGTTTGATTGTAGATGTAATCATTACTGTCATTTATTTTATAGAAAAAGAAATATTATTAGATAGGAAGGAAGGGGAAAATGCAAGAGAGGAAGGTGTGTTCCAAAAGAAACCAAAAAATCTAGGAAAACAAAAAGTACGAACTCCCTAGAAAACCACAAAACAAACACAATCCAAGGAGAAAGCACAAAATGGAACCATCACAAAACTCCCATAATTTACTGTTGTTGCTAATCTTTGAAGTTCCTTTTTTACCTTCTTCCGCTTTACCAGGCAAAATTCCTTTTCAGAATCAGCATTAATCCATTCTTCTAAAAAAAGAACCAGCATTAATAGAATGACCTCCTAGAAGACTAATATTTACATCTGTGGGATCTTTACTGACTAAACTTAAAGTATTGTTAGCCTCAATACTTTCTTGTTGAAAAAGCTTATTCACTTCTACTGTTACCAATAAAGTCATGACAGTCTTCCTGAACTTCTTCTTGATCAATTTTTGCTCTTAAATCATCCAGAAGTAAACCTTCATCATCTTCAAAATTAATCTTGCCCTTTCTGGATTCTTGGAAGCCTAAACTAAATTTTTTATGATCTAAGTACTTTCTTTTCAATAAAGCTCTTTAACTCCTTAAGTTACCATCAATGTCCAAACACCCTGCCTGAACATTCCGATGATCATCTACAACCTTCAGTTCATCCAAAAGCTGACCTCCACCCTTTTTCATAAAAGGAGTCAATATCATCCTCATCATATGAAAAGCCCACCCACCTCAACGCATGCAAAAGTTGAATCTTCTCTAACTTAATACACTTGAACTACATTGGAACTGTTAACAACATTATTTAATTGCTCTCTATCTAACCCAATTTTGAGTGGAGAGAAAACTCTAGCCACGTCCACAACTGCAGAAAATGCTTCTGCATCGATCTATCTGGGAATTGCAATGATTTTCAGCATTGTGCATGTAACCAGACATTGTTGAAACTATCAACATTAAGCATTTTTCCATATGCTGATGCACATCTTCATTTTTTAAGTGTACCCGGCAGCTGAATCTTTGAAGCTCCATCTGATGTGGTTGATTCCTTTCAGTTTTACGAAAATATTTTCAGTACCACGGATGTACTGACTACTCGGTACATCTTTTACCAAAAATGGAAAAAGTAACATTTATACTAGCCTTACCTTTATGATTATTTCCTTCCATATCCCTATTTTTTCCCTTTTTGGTAAGGATGTACATACATATGTTGCACCAAAGATTTACTCCATTTTTACATAGGCTTGAAGCTGACATTATTAATTATTGCACTCGTCAGATTGGTTCCTGTGATATGTGGGGTGACCTTTATGGGTTAAATTGTGTTCTGGATCATTTGAAAACTTACACTTCATGGGTTTGCTTTCCACATGACGCAGATTGAAAATTAAAGGAAAATTTCGGGAAATAGAAAATGTCTGCTGTAAGGTTACCAAAAAATATTACTAAGGCTTAAGATTTACAGCTTTATTTAATTCCTTATTCTTTATTATAAAGTAACCTTTTTTTTTCCTCGGGGATTAGCGAGGAATTGATTGCCGTGGCCACAACTACACTAGATTCTGGTGGTCATGTTGATGGTTGGAGAATATTCGTTGAATATATTTTGTGTACTATCAATTTATTAACTTGATGTTGCCAATAGAAGTTGTATTACCTTTTCATTTCAAGGCCAAGCAAGGCATAGTATGTCTTCAGCCAGGATTTGACCTGATAGCTGTGTGATACAAAAATCCATTATAAGTTTTTGATCAGATGTGTCCTTTTTGCCCCCATTTCTTGATAATAAGCCTGTCTCGATTCTTTCTTTGCTGGTTTTTCTTTATCCATGGGCAATCAGTTTCGATGTATTGGGGGTATACATATTTATAGATGCTTTAATTTTTGTGTTTATCCTATTTGTTGGTGTAGTTATTGAAGGCTTTGGGCATTAGATTGTTCTTAATTCTTCAATATTTCTTTGACAATAGAAAAAACATTGAGACAGTAATGAGTTCTCCCCTCACTTTTATTTATTTATTTATCAAAACTGGCATTTAGTAGATGTGGTTTGGTTAGGTTAATTCCCATTTCTCTCTAACCATTGGGGGGCATGTATAGGAATGAACGAAACAGTGGATTGAGAAATGAAAGCCCGAAGACAAAGAGAGAGCAGCTCCTAAAAGTCACTGCAGCTGTCCCACTTCTTTTAATATACCCAAACGCCTATTCATTGCTCCTGGCAAATTTCTTTTTATTCTGGCACATAAGTGCGGGGATCGAAGAGATTTTGGCAGATTATGTTCACCATGAAATGACCAGAGAATTTGTCTCGATATCTTTCAGATTGTTCCTGATAATCGCAATGAAGGATGTCTTCTTAAAATTTGTATTTGTATAATCAGATAGCGCATGGGTTGTGCTGGGATTACCTTACAATAAGAGCTCATTGTGGAGCAAACTTGAGAAAACCGTTATTTGTAGTTTTCTGTCGTTTTTCAAATTTAGAGGCAAGTCAACATGTTAACTATGGTTTATCAAGTTAATGGATGAATTTCAATATTTGTATGCCTGTATGACATATGCCTTCCATGCCAAATTAGTGTTTAATAATTATAGTGGTGGACAATAAATATGTTATTATATATATATATATATATATATATATATATATATATATATATATAGAGAGAGAGAGAGAGAGAGAGAGAGAGAGAGAGAGAGATATTGTATATTTTATGAGGAAGAATTTTTTTTCCCATAAATTATTTACCTTTAAATCTTATAGGATGCGAGTGTCAACGAATAGATGTTTTCTTGAATATTTTTTTTTTTAATTTTTCTTTTGTCTCTCTGGATATACAATATATATATATATATATATATATATATTTTTTTTTTTTTGTAATAAGGATATACAATATTTTCTCTGCACTCAATTACTTACAACGACAATGTATGCGGAAAGTTCTCCACTTGGCTCTTACATTCTAATGTCTAAATTAAAGCAGTCTGGAAAATTCACGAGTGAAGAAGATTAAGGGAAAGGAGTGTAACTCTATGGGCGTGAATTTGACATTCGTAGACTTACTTTTAAAAAGAGTGAAAGTATTGTATAGATTCTTTTTATTTAAATTTTAGTAGAATCGTTTTCAAGAGAAATTATTTTGATAAAAAATTAATTTGTTCGCTAATAATATTTTAAAAGTAAGTTTAGAAAATTGATTTTGTTTAAATAGTAAAGTAAAATACTTTTCAGTTGTATTTGTAGATTTTTTTTTTGAAATTGTCAGTTTTAAATTTAAAAAATAATATTTTTCAATAAAAAAACTAAAAATTTCTTTTCTTCTTAAAATCAACAATTCTAAAACTCAGAATTCAATTTAATCAAGTTGATTTTTTGCAACCAAATCCTTGATTTAACACTGAGTTGATATATGTTGTCCAAGCTTACCAAACAAAAAAAAAAGATATATGTTGTCCAAACTTCATATCGGAGATTTTAGAATCTAAAACAGACAAGCTAGTAGACGTTAATAGCGACAAAAAAAAAAAAAAAAACAATTTCTTGTTAAAGATGCTAATTACACAATTTATTTTTTACATCTCTCGTGTAGGTCTTTGAGATATAATTAAAATATAAATATATAAAAAAACTCTATAACAATTCATTATTATTAAGCTTAGAATTAATCGGTAAGTGGTGGATTTAAGGGGTTAGAGTGGGTGATTGTTTTAGGAAAAAATGTGTGTCATTTTAAATGATACACCTTATATCCTTTCACTCTCACAAAGAGGTGGGATTCACATCTTTAAAAAAAATTTCCCCTCTCTCTCCCATGATTTATCTCTTTCTCTCACTTAAAATGACATCATTTAATCTCCTTTAAAATGATACACACTTTTCTCATTATTTTAAATATTTTTCTCATATGTATGCACGAGAACCAACGGTTAAAATGAAGAGTAAGATTTTTAAATCTTATACCGGAGTCAACGGTTGAAATATGACACAAAATCCTAACCGTTGATTTTCGACAATCAACGGTTATCATTTATTATGAATTAATAATTAATTAATAAGTTTAATTCCCAACAAATGATAATCGTTAATTAACGAAAATCAATGGTTACGATTTGGTGTCAGATTTTAAAGTTTGACACCACTATCAAAGGATCTTGCCCCATATATACATATGTGTGTATACATATAGGGGTAGGATATTCTTACACTGGTGTAAAATGATCCTGACCTATATATATATATATATATATATACATATAGGATAAGATCGATTGATACTGGTGTCAAAGAAAAAGTTTGACACCTCATTTGAGAGTCGTTGATTTTATTTTGATCTAACGACTCTTATTTGTAAGCATGTGACACCGTTGGTTTGCCTTGATCGAGCGACCCTCCGATGAGGTATCAAACTTTTTATTTGATACCGGTGTCAAAGGATTGTGCTCCTATATATATATATATATATATATAATCAAGATAATTTACAGTGCTGTAATAATAAGAAATCTATCTACAAAAATAATAATAAGAAGAAATATTATTATTAATTTTAGTTATTATTTTGCTTACATCTAAAAGTTTATATATATAAAAAATTAGAGGTATTAAATATAAATAAAATCAACGGTCAAGATTGTAACTGTAATTTAATTCAGCCCCATATATAATAATAATAATAATATAGTTATGACTTAATGATTAATTTTGTGTGTATTCTTTATTATGACTGAAGTTTGAATGCCGTGTATGGTGTAATGCCCCCAACTAATAGTAACATTTACACTAGAAGAAATATAGATGAACTGAAATATACACATGTATATTTACACATTCTTACAAATTGGAGTTGAGCAAAATGTCTCAACTATAGACATTACAAAACTCACAAAATACATCAAATCCCACAACCATGTTCTTAAGTAAGCTACTTGCATTAGTCAAAATGTCATTGCAGAGATAATCAACGCATTATCAAATGCACATAATTTCACGCATTACTTGGGCTGCTAGTTTTTTCGTAGGTTCCTCAAATGAAATCTCAACGGAAATGGACCATCTCATGTTTTAATTTATATGACCATATCATATGAATGAATCATAACCATACAAAGGTGAATCAACGGTCATGATTTTGTAACTACCTATCATAATATATATTTTTTCTCTTCCTTTATCACCATTGATCCACCTTTGTATGGTTATAATTCTCTCACATGATATGATCATGTTTATTAACACATGAGATGATCCATTCCCAATCCCAACATGGTGAGATGTGAATTCCAACAAATCATAGAACTACCAAAAATTGTAACTGTAACAAATAATGTGGCATTCTATAAACAACAATTGTGGCATTCTGTAATATGTCGGAGAATTGACATGGTATATTACTGGCGGACAATACCCAATGAAATGCAAACTAATTAATAAGGTAAACGCTGCTATCCTCGCTGGTGCAACTCGCTGAACATTGTGTCATAATTCGAGAATATGCCCTAGTTGGTTTTTTTTTTTTTTTTTTTTTTTTTGAAAATAAGGGAAAGAATACAACACTAGTTAACTATGTTACAAAATCTTAGGCTACCAAGTCCTATTTCATCCCTGCGAATAAGGGGCATGCAACCCTTAGGGGGATGGTCTAAAATGCAAAGATTCCAATCATCATGGTCATGGCTGAATCTCGCAAGCCAGTCCGCCACTACATTCCTTTCTCTAAGAGTATGGGATACGTAAGTCGACCAAGATCGAGACAGGCAGCTTCTAATTCTAGACACAAGGGGAGCCATAGGATGGCTACTAGTGCACCCAACATGGATGAGTTGCACAGCGACGAGGGAGTCACTCTCCACCCAAACGTGTTTGAAACCAGCGCTCCAGGCAATCTCGATGCCATGTATCAGCTCCCAAAGCTCCGCTCTGAGCGCAGAACACTCCATCGTGGGAGTGATCCCACACCTCGACATCTTCTCCTTGGGATAGGTTTGGGGGGGGGGGCGATGGCTGCTATACTCGCGCAAGCCTCTTCGTCCAGAAACGGTTGGATAAGAGGCCAGTTCCAAGAACCATCAGCTGTAACAAAATTATCTGCAGTCCAGGACTTGTGCTCAGCGGGTATAAGACTGTTGGTGAGTTCCGATAGTGCACATCCTTTGGGGATCCACTTGTCCAACCAGAACTTGGTGCCTCTACCATCACCAAACTGGCAGCTGGATCCTTTCACAAGGTTGGCCCATCCTTTGACAATTCCTTTCCAAACGAAGGAGGATGATCGCCTGGAGTTGATATGTGGAATTAGATCATTTCCAACATTGTATTTATTCCTGAGAACCCTCACCCAAAGTCCATCGCGATTGGTAAGCAAACCGTGACCCAATTTCATCAAGGTAGCCTGATTCATCTGCTGAGCTTGGCGGATGCTAAGCCCTCCGTCATCCTTATGTCTACACACTTTGTCCCATCCAACAGCATGAATTTTACGATTGTCCAGAGTGGATCCCCAAATAAAATCTCGGACCCTCTTATCAATGTCCTTGCACGTGCAGGCAGGGAGTGGGCAAGACATCATGGTATAAAGGGGGAGCGCAGACATGACATATTGAGCAAGAGTGGTTCTTCCTGCAAGGGAGAGGGAATTCTTCTTCCAATTAGCCAGCCGCTGATCCACTCTACCAAGCACATGGCGAAAGGTGGAGTGAGTAACCCTACTATGAATCAAAGGAATCCCTAAAGACTTCCCAAGATCAGGGGTAATAGGAAACCCTAGAGCCTGGGATATCTTCATCGTGCAGTTATGGTTGATATTCTTGGAGAAGAAAATTCCGGTTTTTTCCTTGCTAACCCGTTGGCCAGAAGAAGAGCAAAAACACTGAAGGACTCTGTTTATGAGTTGAGCCTGTTCCAAGGAGGCTTCTGCGAAGAGAAGAAGATCATCCGCGAAAAAGATGTGGGATATTGGGGGGCCACCTTTTCTGAGAACAAGGGGTTTCCACACCTTCCTATTGCAAGCCTCACAAATAATCTGAGCCAGTCTTTCTATACAAAGGATGAAAAGGTAAGGGGATAGTGGATCACCCTGCCTTATACCCCTAGTAGGTTTAAACTCCTTGGTGGTATTCCCGTCCCATAAGACATTCATTGTGGAGGACGACACGTTTTCCATAATGAGCTCAATAGCCTTGGAGGGAAAGCCAACATCAATTAGGGTTTGCTTAAGGAAATCCTAATTAACGCGGTCATAAGCATTCTCCAGGTCCACTTTAATTGCCATCCACGCCTTCTTCCCCTTCTTAATTCTCATGGAATGAAAAATCTCTTGTGCTATCACAATGTTATCAGAGTTGTGTCTCCCCTTGATGAAACTACACTGGTTAGGTTGCACCAGAGCATTCATGTGGGGCCGAATACGATTAGAGAGGATTTTAGTAACCAATTTGTAGACCACATTACACAGGCTTATTGGTCTGAAATTCTTCAAAGAAGAGGGGCTGTCAACTTTGGGTATAAGGCAAATAAAGGTCTGGTTAATATCCTTGATCTTCTCAAGGAAAAGAAAAATCTCTGTAATTAA